CGGCTAATTTTTGTATTTTTAGTAGAGACGGGGTTTCACCGTGTTAGCCAGGATGGTCTCGATCTCCTGACCTCGTGATCTGCCTGCCTCGGCCTCCCAAAGTGCTGGGATTACAGGCGTGAGCCACAGCGCCCGGCCTTTTTTTCATTTTTAAATAAAGACAGGGTCTCACTCTGTCACCCAGGCTAGAGTGCAGTGGCACAAGCATAGTTCACTGTAACCTGGAACTCTACGACTCAAGTGATCCTCTTGCCTTGGCTGCCCAAAGTGCTGGGATTACAGGCATGAGCCACTATGCCTGGCCATCAGTGACATCTTATATTGAATGGAATAGAGTATCTTCTTTGATTGAATCTTTACAACATGTGGCACTGTTATAAATGCCTTACACAGACTAGTTCCTGGAGTCCTTACAAGAAGCTTGTGAGGCGTAAGTACTGTTATTATCTCCATTTGAAAACTGGGAAACAGACACAGAGATATCACTAAGCCCAGCTAATATTTAAAACTTTTTTTGTAGAGACAAGTTATCGCTACATTGCCCAGGCTGGTCTCAAACTCCTAGCGTCAAATGGTCTTCCTGCCTTAGTCTCCCAAAGTGTTAGGATTATATAGCTATGAGTCACTGCACCCAGCCTTCTCCTTCTCTTAACATTGTCGTTTGCAGGGCAGAAGTTTGAAACTTTAGTGAAGTCCAGCTTATCAACTGTTTCTTTCATGGATAATGTCTTTGGTGTTGTTATCTAAAAAGTCATAATCAGCCAGACATGGTGGCTCACGCCTGTAATCCCAGCACTTTCGGAAGCCGAGGCAGGTGGATCACTTGAGGTCAGGAGTTTGAGACCAGTGTGGCCAACATGGTGAAACCCCATCTCCACTAAAAAAATACAAAAATTAGCCAGGCATGTTGGCATGTGCCTGTAATCCCAGCTACTCGGGAGGCCAAGGCAGGAGAATCACTTGAACCCAGGAGGTGGAGGTTGCAGTGAGCTGAGTTCATGCCACTGCACTCCAGCCTGGGCAACAGGGCAAGACACGGTCTCAATCAATCAATCAATCAATAAAATTAAAATAAAAAGAAGTCATAATCATATTCATGCTCATCCAAATTTTCTCCTACGTTATCTTATAGGAGTTTTATAGTTTTGTGTTTTAGGTTTAAGTCTATAATCCATTTTGAGTTTATTCTTGCGAAGGATGTAAGGTCTATATGTCTAGATTCATTTTTTCTCATGTGGATGTCCAGTAGTTCCAGTTCCAGCACCATTTGTTGAAAAGACGACGTTTGCTCCATTGCATTGCCTGTGCTCCTTTGTCAAATATTGTGTGGTCCTATTTGTGTGGGTCTACTTCTGGGCTGCCTATTCTGTTCCATCGACCGATTTATTCTTTCACCAATACCACACTGCCTTGAATACTGTAGCTTTACAGTAAGTCTTAAAGTCAGGTAGTGTCAGTTCTCTGATCTTGTTCTTCTTTTTCAATATTCAGTTTATTATTCTGTATCTTTTGCCTCTTCATATAAACTTTAGATTCAGGTTGTTGATACCCACAAAATAACTTACTGGGATTTTGATTGGGACTACATAAAATTTATTGATAAAGTTGGCAGAACTGACATCTTGACAATATCGAGTCTTCTTATCCATGAACATGGAATATCTCTCCATTGATATAGTTCTTTTTTGATACCTTGCATCAGTGTTTTGTATTTTTCTTCATATTTTTAGATTTATTCCTAAGTATTTCATTTTGGGGGATTAATGTAAATGGTAATGTGTTTTTAATTTTAAATTCCACTTGTTCATTGCTGGCATATACAATTAAAGTACTTAACTTTGTATCTTGCAACCATGCTATAATCACTTATTAGTTCTAGGAGATTTTGTTGATTCTTTTGAATTTTCTACACAGACGATCATGCCATCTGCAAGCAAAGACAATTTTATTTCTTCCTTCCCAATCTGTATATATGACATTTCTTTTTCTTGTCTCATTGCATTAGGCAACACTTCCAATACAATGTTGAAAATAGTGGTAAGAGGGAACATCATTGCCTTTTTCCTACTCTTAGTGGAAAAACTAGTTTCTCACCATTAATAATGATGCTAGCTGTAGAGTTTTTGTAGATGTTCTTTATCAAGTCGAGGAAGTTCCCCTTCTATTTCTAGTCTGCTGAAAGTTTTTATCATGAATGGGTGTTGCTTTTGTCAAATGCTTTTTCCGTATCTATTGACATGAACATGTGATTTTTCTTCTTTAGCCTACTGATGCAATGGATTA